TCATCTAAAATGTGACGTCCGTCACGGGGCTGTCCAAAAACGGAAGCATGTCAGGCCAATGATGGCACGGTACTGCCATACTCAGTTTGATAGCACACCCGCAACTGTTCCATTCCTCCTCCCAAACGAGCCCACTCGCCTATGCGATTCACTGACCCTAACCACCACCACGACGTTCATTCCAACCTGTTGGACTTCTCGTTCAAATTCAACCAGCTCTGTGTCCTCATCCAACCTAACCCCTTCAACTGACTTCCCAGCAACAGAGCAACCAGTGAGTCTGCTTGTTCTTAGATTGCACCATATTTTTGAGACTAAACTTTCCATGTTCTCGCAATTCGAATTATCGCATCTCTACCTCTACTTCATCTGGTTGTGACTCCGGCCATTTACCAACCACCCAAGGTCACTCGTGGCCAGCAGTGTTTTTCGAGTTTTACTTCATGTCAACCGACAGAGTGTTTGAATTAGTCGGACCTCATGGCCATTGTTCTCAACAAGTTGCCAAAGAAACCTGTTATCATTGTTTAATCGAATACTCCTCACTTTTCATAACGTCGTCCCCATTTCGCGGAATCCCCACTAGCCACAAATCCCCACATTCATATGCCCCATTCTGACTCTAAACGCGTGATCATGCCGGAAGTTATGCCACCCACAATTTGGAAAATAAACAACATTATTATCATTATTTTAAAACCCACTTCGCTCTAACAGTGACATTAGGGATTCTTTATGGTTTCAGTGTTTACCACGGTTCTGAAATTCATGCCACAATCTATTTAAATCGTCAACTGATTCACACCAAAGTCCACACTTATGCTTTTCGCGAACATAGTAATAAATGCAGGTGCCCGAGGCCACATAGCTTCAGCGATTGTCTTGGGTTTGAGTTTGGCTGTCCGGGTTACTGAAACCCTGCCTCTTTTTCAAACCCATCGTTCTGGCCCCTTGTTTTCCTCAAGTTATCGTTTTCTCATCACATGCCAGGCCGGATCCTTCAGATTTTCCTCTCGGTCGTGTTCTTCCTAATTATTTTCAAATAGTACTGGTCTCATTTGCTTCACTTTGATATTTCCCAAAAAAGATGGGAGAACACCAGTAACGATATTTCTCTATCTACTATATAATCCACATTTGGACCATGTCAGCATGCAAGCTGTCTCAAAAATCGAAAAATTAAGCAGATATTTTGGGACGGGGGCCGGTACAACTGACCACAGACCATCAGATCTATGTCCTCGTCTACCATAGAACCCTGCGAAACTCCTAGTAAACAAAATTCGGAGCGTACTGGCATCCCTATTCTTCTTCGACACGGCTTCTCAGTGGGCATATCAACTAGTTGTCCCAGGCTTCCTGCTCGCTTCGGAAATATGGCTAACACTGTTGCCATTGAAGCAAGTTTGATGTCGTTTGAATTGAACTTGGCAACTTGGCCTTGTCTGTCTCCCAAAAAGGTCAAATGCCGTGTTATTGGAAGGCTTTTTGAGTAAATGCACAATTTTCTGAGGAAAAGTAGAAGATTTGTCAACGGGGACCAAGAACAAATAACCTGGCCACAAACCCTCCCAACCCTGTCACTGATCTGTTTTAAGGACTCAGTTCGGATTGTCGTAGGCACGCTGGAGACTTTGGCTTTGTGAAAGCGGTATGGAACTGGAAGTCGTTGATCGAACACAGGATGCTCTGTTCGAATCGTGCAATTTGTAATTGAATCGGATGATCGCGATGAAATGTGATAAACTAGCTGCACTTTCCTCATTTTGCTAGACTGATTCGGCACCTATCAAGCCAAAGGATGCATGCTTCTAATTACGCCGCAAGAAGAGGAGCCATGGTATCTTACGAAGAAATTCCCTTAAACTGATTAAACAAAAGTGCCATCATCACCCGCAATTTTTGCCTTGTAATTACCTCATTCATCTGGGTGATTTAACGACATCATTCTCCTGTTGTTCGATCACTTACACGTTTTTTCAAAGGGACGATCTGTCCAATCGCAAACTGTGAGGCAAACGTTTTAGAGGCTACATAGGTGACTTAGTAAGCACACACTAAATTGGAAAACTTACTCATAAGTTTCGGCTGCATAAAAATATGTATCTTCTTAAGTAACCCGTTTATTTAGCTAGATAAATTCTGATGGGGAATTTCGCCTAATTTATAGGTTCACCGACGGGCGGGGAATGCACTGTATGGAAGCGGGCAGCTGGACCTTTCGAACGGACTAATTAATTGGTCACTCTATCCACATGGATAGCGAACTTTCATTGACCAGTTATCGATTGCATTCGCCGAATGAGATCGAGTTCTCAAATACGACAATGTTTTCTAGGTTACCACATCCTACTTAAGAATGTCTCTCTCTAGTGGTTTTCTCGAAAGTTCTCTGTATGAATGTTTTGCTTAAATGAGCGGATCTTGACGCCATCAGTTACCTCAATTTGGAAAAGAGGTGTTTAAATACAACGAGAAATCACGACTGAGGGTGGAACGTTAATTGCTTGCAGTGTTGCCAAAGTCGATGTAGTTGTGCAGCTGTAATAATTTATGGAAATTGACATAGCCCACATTATATTTGTGGACGCAAAATATGACGGAGTGTCACTTCTGTAACTAACCTGATCTTATGTTTACCTCTCAACTAGACGGATGTCGAATCGTGTCCTCAGATCCCGGGAATAGGTTTACACTCGCACCCAGGTCAAGTTTTCTGTTGCACTACCAGATCGCACCCAGGTCAAGTTTTCTGTTGCACTGCTTGATATCAGCTTACAAGTATTCAGGTGCCGTTTACTGGCAGCATAGCTCACCATTGCATAATGGTTGGTATACTAAGTTTGTTACTGACATCGCGCAGTTGCCAGACAGTGGGCCGCTGGGTATGTAGTTCGTGAGCTGCTCATTGGCTGGTAGAGTGTGTTTAATCAACATTTACTGCATCAGGGATCGTTTGAACAGCGCTAGGTTTTCCCATCTGACGAAGCATATGTGACCGTAGTGACCTTCCCCCACTTCAACACTAGCACGTCCGGACCTGTGAAGATTTGCAAGGACCGAAGGCATATAATCTGCCACAATAAAACCAACTATCCATCACCCGCTCAACAGAGATGGGTGACACTAGTAGCGGTGCTTGTATTCGTGGTTAGTGTTAAGGACCTCAGCGAATTCACCCTCTATAAACTGCAGCTCTTTAAACTACGGCGTTCCATACTTCAACGGAGCACAGCAGGTGTCTAACTGCTTTTCGGTTAGCCATTGATTCTCCAGAAGCCTTATGATTGTGTTCCAAACAATAAGGCGTGAATACGAGATGGTTCCCGTGTCTCATAGACAAAAACAGACTGGACAACCGGTGCTAGTGTACCGTTTATCGCTAGTAAATGCACTCAAGTTACTAGCCTCATGGAATCCTTGAAATTACCATTAGTTTTGTTTACCGGCTGCTGCGTTCGCAGCGAAACCGCTCGTAACGCAAAACAGCATTGGTGCTTCTATTACACGCTCCGCGTAGAAATACCATACAGTTATCCTTCACGTATTCATTCAACCTTTCTCAAACGCCGTGAAAGATGAAGACTGGACAACAACCGGTTTTTCAACAACACATATCTCTGACCATATCTGAAACCACAGCATTGAAGCTTTGAAACTGAAATGCGCACCTGATGTCAAAACGGGGATTGGATTAATTAAAACACTATTCAACGGAACTAAGGTATATTTTGGTGGTTTTTAGTGTGAATATATATACGGAACAACTATACATTTTGGTTCATAATATTTTATTCCAACCCCAAAGGTTTGAGAGAAATAAGCGTCTGCCAGCTAAGCAGCAGCTTCAGTGGATAACATTAGCTCGGTGAACAAAATTTTCGTTGCTTGCCTGGCCACGTATCATCGTCGGTCCGTCCTTGTGAACACCGTGAGGGTTGTTAGGCTCCGCTCATTCAACCAACTACTTCTTTCTAGTGACTAGTTAAAAGTGGCTCATAAAATAGTACCGTTGACCTTGACATTTATTTAAGCGTGCTATTGTGAGGCGAAATCTAAACAGTCACCCGTTCATTCTTTCGAATTATGTTCTTCCTTTCCATTATCATAGTTCATTTATTCATTATTTTGTACTTGGCGGTGCCATACGTTTTGGAGAAATGGCCCAGTTTTTCACATTCATTCATCTTCAAACCTAAAAGTGAGTTGAACAATTTTTGTACGGATAATTCTTATTTCCTTGAAATTCATAAGTGTGGTTTGTATTGTTGACCTATTTTATTATTCATCTGCATGATAAAATGTCATAGATTGGAGCGATATTTGCTGGGCATCAACTCTAATATATGTTATTTGTGCCCGTAAGCGCAAAATGTACTGTGGCTTATTTTTATTTAACCTATGGATAAGAAATAACGAATACAAGTGTGCTGTAACAGTTGTATCATCCAGCCAGCACATGGCTTATATATGACGCTGTGACCACAATCTCACTTCTGAGGTTCCCTATTAGGAACTTTGAATGACGCGTATGTTTGACGATCCCGAATATCAAAAGAAAAATATTGATTTTGAAATTCTACGGTACTGTTTACACAAAGGTGAGCAAAGCCCTACAATATACCTGGATTGTCCACGTTCTTGACGTCAATAATTGCGCAAATTTGTCAGTGACCGGCATAGTGCAGTGTCAAGGGCCGCGAACCAAATAACGTAGGGCGGAATGTTAGCTCGATGGCTTGGATTGTGGTTGGCCATTCCGAGAATGATATATTGTCTCTGACTGGCGCAGGGATAACACAAAATCATGATAGAGGAAGTCAGGGCGCAAAAATGAAAAATCGAAAAGTTGTGGTAATAGTGACCTTGATAAAAAGCGATAAAAGCGATAACTGAAGGTACGAACGTTGCTGGTTTGATGAATGAGGTCAACGAGCTAAGTGGGATAGTTCACATGTGCCTGCGGGTGAAATATAGAAGCCCCTCGACTCGAGATCAAATTATAGATCTGACTTTCGACCAGTAAGGTTGGGAAACTAATGAACACCTGCCCTCTGGGTCGGTGAGCCCGACGATGCTTACTTGCAGTAGATGTCGTATTGTTTACCTAACTTGTGGTTCAAAATTTTCTGAATGGACAGTTGCTTCTGCATCGCAAACACTTGGAAGTGTTCAACGCCCTTATTCGTGGACGGAAACAGGACTGTTTCCAATGCTCCTGTGCTCGGACTTACGACCCATCCTGGGGTAGGATCGGTAGGTATCATTTCCATTTGCAAAAGGAGGAACAGATAGGATGCAGGGAGCACGGAGTCGTGGATGGGAGTCTGCCTCAGATCGTTACGGCCAAAGTATGAGCCTCTTCTGCTTAGATTTATTGACAATGACCATTTACAACCATTTATTTAGTTCCAGTTTGTTTTTGAACAGTGTAATCCACTCTGTTTTCCCGTAGCGGCAAAGGAGCAAATGAATGACACCACTGAATGCTGTTCGAGTCGCAAAATAGTAGGTTTCCATCAGGTTCCGTGTTGCCATCTCCAGTCTGTAAGGTTTGGAGCAGCTTCTTTCTCGTGGCTATTGATGGCTCTTACGGATCAGAGTTCAAAACTTTGTCAGCTTCTCACAAATTGTCTATGGGTCATAAGGTTAGCGGTACATTTACTCGGAATATGTCTGGACATTCCCCATCGTCTTTTCTGCGCACCGGCTTTCCGTTTCGGGTCTTGATAAGGGCTGTCAAGGGCTACTCTGTACGTATGCCTGTCTCCATAATTGTAGCTGACACTGTAAAAAATAGCGTGTGATAAGAATTACAAACCATAGCACTCTAAAATATGAGAGAACAACTGCTTGGGCACATGCTCAAAATGATACTGCAAAACGCCGAGGTTGAAATATTCTTAGATGAGATTAGAATCAAACGAATTAGCCTAAGATCACTGCCATTCTCGAAGAGTGTGAGTCACCAGATACGGAGTGCAATCGACGGGTTCAGGAAGATACAATATTGAAATTAGACAACTTTTGTTGCGCTCGAGTGTGGAGTGTCCGGCGGGTTATTTCATGTGGATCATTCTTTCACTTGATATTGTGGGAGGAGAAGTGCAATATGCTAGCCTTAAACAACTTAAAGATGAGTTTCAAACGTCCAGTTTGCCCTTTATATTCAAGCAGAAAGAAGTCGAGTTGGGACGATGGAGACAGGCATGACAGTTTGTGTATGTATTTGGCCCCCGAACGTTGGGTGTGATCCAAGGGAACTTCTTTTTGGCCAGGAAAGTCACAAGTAGCAATGCTCGGGTTAATGGCGAAGAGGTTATGAGTGCGGATTCAGGCAACTGGTCCCATTAAGACTGATGAAAGCAAGACAAAATGATTCACAAGTTGCGGAGCTTTTTTTGCCGGCCACAATAGTGTAGCGAATGGAAATATCTCGGGGATTTTTCGCCAGCCGCAAATTTCGCCAAAATGCTTCGGAAGCACTAAGTGGCATGAGTAAAAGCGGAATGCCAAAAGCGTGAGACGACTTGCTTGAAGATGACCCATGAACAGTATTTTTGAAAGACGAGCAAAGAATATTAGACCGGCGGTCGTCAGTCGCTGCCAAGAAAAAGTTAGGGTCTAATTGTTGGTTTTTGACTTCACACAATATGAGTTATGTGCATTAAAGAAATATTGGGAAGTGATTCCATGTAGGTGAAAAAGTGACGGGGCCCGTGGGGGCCTTACTTCTAATGTTAGTGGGAGAAAATAGAGTAATGGGACCACTGAGATCAGACTTCCAATAAGGATTGCAAGCTGCGTTGTTAGAAGGGCCAGAAATTAAGGAATTCAGCTCTGCTCAATAAAAATGCGTGGAACTTGATTTGCCGATTTATGAAAAACAAGACACTTGCCATCGGTAGGCTTCAGAGCCTGAAAAGACTTAGGTAAGTTGGAGAGAGATTTGGCGAGGTTTGAAAAAACCGGATACATATGGTCGGAACTCGTACCGGAAGAATAAAGCTGCTGGAGAGGCGAAAGGAAACCGTGACCTCCTAACGAGCCTCTGAATAATATTGCAAATCCTACAGATAAGTCTAACAGCTGTAGTTTTCTGGGCTGTGACATTTACCATACTTGAAATTAGGAGGAAGCACACCAATTTTCTGGGCCTCACATAAAAAACAATACAACTGTGGCAAACATTTGTACCTGTCTGACGTGGATCCATGTGAAAGAAACCCTAGTAAAAGTTTTAAGAAAAGTGAAAGAGTAAAGATCTCGTGCAAGCAGCTGTAAGTCCTTGCGAATAACGATCAAGAACAGGGCACTTGCACCTTGAATCAGCAACGAACTTCTTTGGAAGTTAGCTGCCATCAGCGCTAGTGACCCGTCGTTTTTGCAAACTCTAACTAGCACGAGATCAGCATGCAATGGCGACAGAAGTTATCCAGACAGTCCGTCTAGAAAGTGACAGGGCACGGGGCTGGTCACATACCACACTCAGAAAACTAGATCAAACAAGAATATGTGAAGATCCCGCAGCACTCAGCTTTACGTCATCTGTCTCCGTTTTGCTTTGATAATCCATGACCTACCGTCACAAAATTTTCGCTCAAGTGTTCGGAATGGAATATGGCACATTCCTTTGTAGGCTGTGACTAAGCATGTGTGGCATATGTTCAAGCCACCCTAACCTGGTGAGCTTCGTTTGTTGGCACAGTGATCCTGATTCACCACCAAGTATTAGCGAACACGTTGCAGCCATCTAACACCCAGCGAAATACAGATCCTGGATGATCGCGCTGAGACAAACAAATCTGAGAAAACGAATCCGCTGAAGCAAGACACCATTAGTTGGACGGGCTCACTGTCCTTGGCAGGTCTCACCGGACTTAATCCTGGCGTACAGCGTGAGAAGAACTATAGTCAGGTAGTTGGGCTTGGAAATGACAGCACATTCCACGAAGGGTGTTCCTGCAGACAGGAACACTTTGGCCCCATCCAGGATTGTGCAAAGATTTCATGGCACTCAGATAGACTATAACCACCTTAATTTCATGTTACCGCTAGGCCGTTGTTGGACATGCATAATGCTACTGCCTTTGCAATTCGGAAGTTCCACCATGCACATGCTTAAGCAAACTCAAATATTTTGTTCAAAGAATTTTTTGTGAACGATTAACCAAAACGACTTCACCCGAATACTCTAAGTCCATCCAATCCATTTGCCTGGTTGTTTGCAGGGATCAAGAGCTGCGGTTTGTTTGATTGGGTGTTGTGAGGGTAACTACTATTAAGCAGAGTTCAATCCTGTGAGTTGAAAGATTTAGGGTGCTCTGGCAGCCCTGTGTGTCGGATAAACCATAGCGAGATTCCACAGGACGCCATGAGCAATTTTAGTAGGACTGACATAGGAGAATAAAGTTGACTGAGCGAACCGATTGTATACCGGTTGTACATAAGGATAGATCATGGAAGACCCAAATCGCTTGTTCTGGGATGAGGGATGTTTAGGTGCGAGTGATGCGGAAAAGTCCGACGAACAATGACATGCAGCCTTGATTCTTGTTTATGTGACAGAGTCTACATTCTTGACACTGGATTCTCCTGTACCTGTTCTAAAGGTTACGTTTTACCACTCGTGTGACTATTGAATTTTGGGGTCTGCGCCTCGTTCAATGTCGAATACATACTGAGTCTGGCTTTTAAATGTGGAAGCTCCATTTAGCAGCTCATATCGGATGAATTTTTTGGTGTCGCATGAAACACCCACTGGTAGTTTGGATTTCCGAAATGTTTACTGCCAAAAAACATGAGGTGCGGATGACATAGTATTCTGAAGGTTGTTTGTGCCTCAGTAGATGGTAGCATACTACTGTGATACGGCTGAGTGAAATTTCTCCATAACCAGTTTTTATCGCTAATAAATTTCAAGAGGTCAAACAGGCATGGGGAATACACTCCTTTGTTCCAATATGGCAATAAGGCATAGTCACGGTGATCCTTTAGTAACAGACTTTTTTTAGTCTTCAGGCTTCGAATGATCGTAATTATCAGTCAGTTGGTCATCATGAAGTCAGCATTCTACCTTCAATATACGCCTTGGTGCAACTAGAGCTTAGACCTAGGGTAAACAGCAGCACGATAAAACTGGGTGTTATTGCTAGACTATGAAAATTTTCTCGCATTGATTACAACTCTCGAAGTATATAC